GGGCTCGTCGCGCCGGGCGCGGCGCGGCCGTCGTTCGTGTTGAGGGTGGCGGCAGGGTTGGCGCCGGGGTTGGCGGCGGCGAGGTCGGACTCCTGCGGCGGGTGGGGGTGGTCGTCAGCGGGCATGGGGTTGCTGGGCAACGCCATGGAGTCCTCGGAGGGCGAGCGGCTCTCGGATTCACTTCGACTGACCGAGCGCGACATGCGGAGAGAAAAAAAGGAAAAGGGGGAGAGACTGGGATAGAGTGATCAGGTCACGGCTGCTGGATGGGGATGGTAAATTGTATAGATAAATTAGGGGGATAGAATATTGTCCTTTCACTCCTTCGGTTGTTGACTGCTAAAAAATGTATACCTTCAATCTTGCTAATGCACGAAAGTAACCTTTAAGAAAAAAATGGTAAAAATAGACGATAGCAAGAGAGAGATACATGCAGTTAAGAGGAAATGCTATTTCGAGTCCATCAAAGCTGTGTCGCACGACTCACACAGTTTAAAACAGAAGAAGGAATTAAACATGATAAGTGAAAAACTTAAATATAAATTGACCTTTAGATTCAGTTTAATAGGGGAAAAAATTAGCCAATACAAGCTTAATACTGTTCCGTTCACTTAAAGAAAGTAAATTTTAAAAGGGGGAAAAAAAGGGTTCTATCTATACATAGCTACCATATAAAAAAATGTTTTTAGTCGCCACGCTTCTCTATTAAACGAACGTGATAGTAAAGCGGTGCATTAGAACTACTAGAATGCACATCGTCTTTATATAAAAGGAGAAATAATCATAATAATACTAACAAACGGTACAAAGCTGATTGTAGCTAGATCTTACTACCATCGATCCTTAATTTAATGCACAGAGAATACAAACACATCAGGCTACATTTTACCAATCTAAAGTTGTAATTAATTTCACTGTTATTACACTTTTCAACTGTTCGTGCATCTGCAAGAACATATCACTTAAATGAGTATATCCATAAGATATTATACAAAATGAAAGAAACAAAACAACCCATACTGCGTGGAACTTTTGATATCCTTAACAAACAATGATAAATAGAATAAAAAGTATTTAAATAAAATTTTATACATATATATTTTTATATTTTTATCTTTATATATCATTGAAAAAAAAATGCCACTGAGGCTGATGTATTTCCATTCAAGTGGAACTATCGATAAAAACAGGAAACAACAATATTTCTTACTTTACTGATATTCAAAAAGTCAGATATCAGAATGAAAGGAAGAAAAGGAAGAAACCCCCACAAACATGGGAGTGGACAATGGCATTTATAGATGCTACCCGCATTTCTCCGATTCTTTTTATTTTTAGAAATTAGCATCCGAAAGGGATAAAATTACAGATAATGAAAAAATGAGTAGGAAAACGTCTCTTCCGCTTTCTCTCCTCTCCTTTAGGCCTTTTTTACTACTACGACCAACAAACACTGGGCTTCTTACCCGTTTTATAACAGTAAAACATTCATTAATTATTGGAAAAAAACTCTGATTGTGCTGGCTTTCCACTCTTCCCCCCCCCCCTCCCCCCCTTCCTCATACAAATATGTGCAGTCGCGGTGTTCTCTTCTTTACCTAAACAATCACACATCCTGGCACACATCGTGAAGGATAGTAGAATTGTATTTTAACGAATTCGTAAAGACACTAACATCAATGCCCATGGGGAAAAGTAAAGGATATCCGCGCAGCACAAGCAAATGCGCTCCACCGCGGAAAGCGACATGCGAAGAAGAAGATGGAGAAGTGGGTTCATAGAAAACTAAGTAAAAATAATCTACGGAAATAGATTCCATAGCAATCAATCAGCACGTGAGATCTGACTAACATCGAAATGTCAACCAATCAAAAATATAAATGGCACTGGGGAAGGGAGAAATTCCAACTAAAACTAAAATTAAAGTAATACACATTAGGGGAAGCACGGGGAAGTAGAAACCATAAAAAGTAATGATAAGAAGGGAAAAGAAAAAGCACTATAGATGAGAATGTGGTCCACTTGCCTACTCATGAAGTCCGATTTTTAAAGCCTTGGTGTATCGCGCTTCTTCTTTTCTTCTTACACTTCAGTACTGTGTGTGAGAGTGCGTGTTTGTAGAGATAGCTATCTAAACCTACATACAGTTTTTTTGTTATCAATACCCACATCGTACCGAAAACTCTCAGATTAATAGAAAACCGTGCAATCTGCAGCATAGAACACTTTCATTGTCAAAGGGGTTGGCTAATATTTTGACTAATTTTAATTTCTGAATACCGTTTCGTTTCTGATAAGAAAGGTACGGTGTACAGACCAACCGCTTAAATCATAACTAATCAATATTGAACAATGAGCATTCTTCAGATGCGTCATAATCAGGAATTGTCTTACCACGACGTCATCAAAGCAACCCTTAATGCCCAGATGCACGGGAAAAGGACATCATCAAAGCTATGGGATGGAACGATAAAGTCCTAAAACTTCCTATGCAAGTCATCAAGACAATTAGTTCTTCTCACCACCACCACCTTGTACGATGGCCCCTAACGAAACCCGACCGGTTCACTCGTCCGGTCCGCTTATTTGCGCGTTCTCTGACCCATTGGTTAGTGATAAAATTGTGGCTGGGCAGAGCTGTTGTAAATCACAAACGGCGGTTGTTGGGTCTGCGGCACCATATAGGGCTGAGGAACGGATACCAAGCAGCCAGGTCGCGGCATCTGCGCGTAAACCCCCGCCGACCCTGCCGCTCGCTCCGGCCAGACCCCGACATTCGCGACGCGGTATGTCTGCCCATTAATCATTGCAAACTGCTGCTGCTGCTGCTGCTGTTGCTGTTGTTGTTGTTGCTGCTGCTGAATAAGGTAGCCGAGGTACTGCTGAATCGCCTGCGAGGAGGTGGCACACGCCGCAGGGACGCGCACCGACTGCACCATCGTCGACCCATCCGCCAACGGCATCGACACCTCCACAACGCGAAACCCTCCGGCGGCGGCCTGCTGCTGCTGCTGCTGCATGGCGACGTAGGCGGCCCACTGCGAGGTGGCCTGCGGCTGCGCCTGGGGGACGACGTAGAAGAGCTGCACCGGGCGCC